CTAGCTGAGAGGTATCTATGATGCTTCCCCCATCTACCAGAGGTATTAGAGACTGCTGTTGGGCGGGAAACTTCCGTAATTTGGCTCAGTGACCTCCTTTGGAGATATGAGGTTCTTTTACGTGCCGTAAAGCTACGACACGGGACCCATGGCTTAAAGTCCCTCCCGGAGGACTTGTTCCCTGAATTTTTCCGCCCTTAAAAATTCGACGACCTCCGCCGGGTATTTTGCCCACGTACTACGAGTCATGATGTGGGAACGTTACCTCTAGACTACGGAGGCCGCTATAACCCCCTTTACTTCCAAAGCAAGGCACGTGGGTCGAAAATATTTTTCGCTTTATTAGTGGCATTAAAGCAGTTATGGGGGTGAATAAACACCAAGGAATCCAAAATCAGTGAAAAGTGCAGCACTAAAATTCATTATGATTCAACATGCATACTATATACATAGGAACATTCAAGGCATAAAAACGAAATAACATAAAAATTGAAAGAATGTAACAGGAAGTGGCCATGTTCTAATCTGAGTTACTATCCTACAATTTGCCTGGAGTGACTACGGAAAACAACGAACATCTACCCTTTGTGATTTTAAATGCTCAACTGGCGTTATGTTCATTCACTATTGCTATATAATGTGGTGACACAGCTAATGACACTACAGATATAACAGTACAGAACTATTTTCCTTCGAGTTCATTAAATATAAAACACAACAAAAATGTTTCAATCTAAAATCTGTAGACAATGCTGTTACTTATATCTACATTTTGTGAAACCTGTGCAGCAAGCCACTTCTTAGAAAAATAAACGTTTTATGCAAAATACATGTCACATTGTAATGAAGGAAAAAATACATTTTGCTGCCAACTTCTATTGTACAATCGCAATATCTGATCAAAATCCACTGAGTAGTTCCAGAGATGTAAGTTGCACACTGACACGCAACACATGCCTACATCATTATATACCTTATGCAAAGATTACACAATACATGCATATTTGTCACATTAAATGTAATAGTGCTTTGTGAGAGGCTGATAGTTGCTTATCTGATGAAGAAATTTCACACCTTTTACAGAATCTGAGGGTCATGACTGTGTTCACAAGAACCTATCACTGGACATATTCTGAGCCACACGAATTTACTGGCCCTCTTTACTCCATATTTCTTTAAGATTATATTAAGTATGTCATTTACGGACATGTCAGTATGCAGACTATATAGCATCCAAGGAAGGGAGCTTACAGAGTTACATTTAAGCCAATTAAGCCTATTGTTTCTGGTTGTCCTTCAGTACTTAGGACAGAAGAATTTTTTAAAATAAATTTATTTCTTGGTATTAACGTTGATACATTTCTGTCCTTTTACAATTCCGATTTTTCAAAAAATACAGAGTGGGACATGCCTGGCTAACCCCCTTCCCATGGCAGCCAAGCCTACAGACATACCACACAACAAATCATCACGTATCACTGTACGACAAGAACAGAATTGCCAATAATTCCAGACCTACTGCAAGACTTTAGAGGTTACAGTGAAATTCTCATGTAAGGTTTCTTTGTGAACAGTGGTTCCAAACAGTAAGGAAAATCTTAGATGGAAATTTAATACTGTGATTAATGATGTCAGATCATTGAAACTTCACATTAAATGACATAAAACCTTAAATTGAGGAACACTAAATGGGGGCTCCACTGTATAAGGTCATTAAATGACAGTGTTTCAACTGCAGAGAGGTATACTATTTAATCACATGGCAGGATCATCAAGAATGGCTATGATCCCCTGCAAGTTATGCATTTGGAGACATGGAAAAACGAATATTAACCTCATTCAGAACAGGCAGTAAAACAGCCAAGATATGAATGGTTCTTCCATACACATCATGCGTGCTACTGCCTCACCAGCCTCCTTACTTTCCAAGAATTTTAAAATAGACAGGTTAGGAAAATGTAAGTGCATAAGCCTCCCCTGAGGCACTGGGTACCAGGAGTTTGGTGACACTCTGGAATGAATCTGACACCTATGGAGACAACATACACCAACTTTCATACCATCAGACTTTAACCTACTTGTATGTCATAAATCTTTTCAGACTTTACAGAGATGAAATATCTTCACTTTTCCAAATGGAAGCCATTAGGAACCTAATTCCATGGCACCACAGCATGGTGGGTCCACAGTCTGTGGATGGAGACAGTTTTCAAACATGGAGCATAGCTGCAAACATGCTGAATAAGCAGTCATGGACATCCACAAAATGGTTGGTTCTGTCTGAACCGAATGGATGCTTTGGAGTAACCAAGTGAATGTTCCTGACTTCAAAGAATGCATATAGGGTTCTGGTGGGCAGACTTCTTGGAATACAGCCATTTGCAAGAATGAGAAGATGGAAGTGGCTCAGGATTGTGTCCAGTGGTGGACTTTGGTAGCAACAGTATCAAACATAAAGTGTCTCCTTCCTGAGAATTAGAATAAATGAAGGAGACTGGGATGAGTAGGACATGTAGCACACAAACACATAATATGTGCTTATATTTTACTGAGAGTGCACCAAGTGAAGAGACTGCTTGGGACATTTAGGTGTAAATGGTGGCATAATGAGATGAATCTTGTGAAAGATGTGAGGCTTCTGAAGAAAGCTTTGCATCCCCAAAGAGGAAGATGATGGAGGGGGAGGAGAAGAAGGAATATAAAGGAATGGGCAGGAGGAGGAGGAGGAGGAGGAGGAGAAAAGCCACAAATTTCTTGATAAGCTGAATAAATATCAATCTACCAAGATCTTGTACAATAGAGTTAGCACTAATAGTATTTTTAAATATTGCAAATTTAATCACTCACCATTTTGTTACCTGCCTCAGCTGCTACCATTTTGAGTCTCTTTATTGTAGTATCATGAACATTTTCCTTATTTTCCAGCTTCAGTTTGTCACTACTTTTACGGCGAGGTGGTACGGGTGGGGGAGCGTGGATCACAGTTTCCTCTGTGATTTCTGTACTGCTATTGAGTGAATCATCTCTGCTTACAGACCTCACCATGACAAGAGACTCCTTTTCTCTTCCCATTTCATTTTCTTGTCTCACACTTGGTGATGGTATTCCAGATTCTGAAGAGTCCAACAATGTGCAGGGGGCACTTGGACGTACAGGTGAAACAGAAGGTGGAGGAGGAGATCGATAAGGGGGTGGCTGGCGAGAAGGAGACATCATATCCAAGGATTCTTCTGATGCAGAAAAGCTTTCTGAAGGGATCATGGCTGTAGATGTCACAGAGGATAGTGAATCAAATGATGAACTGGGTAACACTGGTGACGCAAGATGCATTGCTGGACTCTGTTCTCCCATTGGATTACGGTACTTTTTCTTTAGCATCAAATATTTCTCACCCTGAAAATTAAAATTATTGTGTAATATACTTTCTAACATTTCATGCTACATGCTGTAAAAAAACACATCTAATATCTAACAGAAAGTAATATTTTACAAGTATGAAATGAATAGTTACCTCCTCATTACGAATTACGGCCAGTGTATTTACAAATTCTTTGAACTGGTTTCGAGCCTCGACTGAAAACAAGATGACAATAATTATCACAGATGTAAATATGACTAAATGGTCAAGGTAAAATGTACTTAAATATACCTAATACTTCACTGTCACAAAGTACAGTTCATTTTTGTACCTCCTCTCATGCCAATACCTGCACAAGAACAGAAGACACAATAATCATACCAATTTCTGGTATGGATATCTCATAAGATATGGTTATTTTCAAACACAGTGAAGAGATATATCTCTTAGAAGTGGTGATTTAACAACAAAAACATGGTCTCTTCATTTGTAATTAATGAATGTTTTATTGAAATCAAATGGTGAGGAAGCTACCATTATGCATTCACTTCAACTAAAATTTGAAACAATTTTACAACATTGTGCCTGGGTATAAAGCTGTCATTGAATCTGAAGCTTGTTTAAAATTAACAGATCTCATAGAAACAATTCAAAATCTGTTAGCTTCTCATGTTACTAAATCTGCAGTTTAAGATATCTTACACAACGGATCATCTTATTATAGAAATGTAAGTGAAATCTGTACCAAGAAATTTTATCTGCGAATGTTTAAAGTATGCCACATACTTTATTGTACAGTAGTACATTAGGCTCCCAATTATCAGTGGCTGGGAGATAATAACTGATGATAATTGAATATAAACATTTAAAAAAAATGTATGCACAGCCTCTGATATGTTCAATTATCTCAAAAATTTTTGTACTTATGGAAAATTGTACTGAACAAAACAGTGTTGCATTTTTATCAATAACTTTTGCTTGGAACATTGTTCATTATAATAAATATTTGTCGAGTTACGCTAGAGATTTGTGTAGAAAAGAATGTAGATCTTGGTGAAATGAAGTCATTAAAACTGTCCCATGAAAACTGAAGTGACTAGACCGTTAGTCGTAAAATTCTCGGATATCAAATTTCATGAAAATCTCTTCAATAGTTCCAAGACTTTTTTTCATGCGTAAAGACAGACGGGCTCGCTCCTGTGTTGCCAACGATACAAAAGGCGCCCCGATAGATCGATAACCAGATAATCAGCGCCTAGATAATCGGGATTATGTTGTATACATATGAAACGAAGGGCTCATATTTTGACAGTGTAATACAGCAGCAATAACCAAACCACAATTATATTATCGACGGGAAGGTGAAATGGTGCCACTGAAAAACGTTCCTTGCACTTCTGAGTAATAGTAAGCGTTATTCTATGTTAATCATAGCTGGGCGTGACATAGACGTATTTCAACCACTCTTATTTCAAAACTATGAAACTACAGAAAAGATAATCAATACCTCTTGTTTCAGGATTAGTAAGGAATCCCTTGAAATGTTTCACTAAATCATGGTTTGTCACTTTCCCACCGTTTTCCAACATAAAATCCCGAATTGCATCAAGTGTTAACTCACTTGGCACTGCCATCTTGAAAACTACAGCTGAGAGATGAGAACAGTTGACGCGCGAACTTCGCTGCGGCTACGATGGCTGAATCGGTATTGTTATCAACTTCTGTGACTGTCCACGTCAGGTTCCCAACCAATGGTTTATATAACTGAGCAACAGTTGTTTTTTTAGCAAAATTGTTATTAGTGAATGGAAGATTTTCCATAATTATAAGCGGTGATTGTTAAAAATTAAATACATAACAGCATATTTAAACATTAATTTTTTAATTACGCATAAATTAATGTACGAAGTGTAAGTAAAACCCGAAGAAGGGCGAAACAGACATGCCAATAAAAATACATAAACAAAGACCCTAAGAATCGTGAAAGGTATACAGATATATTCCTCTTACCTCCGGCAAATAAATGAAGTCTAGGCCTACATATTACTCACTCACTCATGGTGCTGAACCCTTCCTGCGAGCCTGCCAATTGTACAGCTACTCAAGAACTTCCCAGCATTTTATGGAAGCCGAAGGTTCATTACCATGTTCACAATAGCCCTCCAGTGATCCCTATCCTGAGCCAGATCAATCCAACTAGCCTACATGTACACGTAAGAAATAAATACTACTACCTCTTTCGATGTGACGCCGCGTAGACTGGTAGATGTACACTGAAGTTTCAGAGGAACGTACTGCCTCTATTTTCAGGGTACCGAAATATCTGTAAGCTTCTGCAAGACTACACGACGTCACAATCCGTAAAAGAGTAACAATATTCGTAGTGGCCGTCATGACACATTGCTGTTATACGTAATTATTCATCCAGTATCTTAGAATTTTTCTTGAGCGACTGAGAGAACTCACGAAAATGTAAGGAACATCTGTGTCCTAGCCAAAATTCGAAATGGATACCTCGAGTATACAAGTTAGAAGCAACGCCGCTTTGACCAAATTTTTCGTTAGTTGCTGGATGAATAGAAGAATAGACCGAGAGATATTAGGATGAGCAGACGGACAAAATCACTGCTTCCCAGAAATAATATTGTTTGCCAGTTTGAAAAGCGCCGGAATCATTGAAACGTAACTCTGCTTTTGTTCAGTAAGACAAATGCTAATTCAGACCATGAACTCTCTTGTTCGTTTAGTTACAACTTGCATACCGCATGTGCTGGTACCGGGTCTGCATTCATCATAGAAACATAATAACAAGTATGAATACCACAATTAGTTTTCAGCCTCACATAATGATGGAACAAAGTTTCTACACGTAATGTTATCTTCGCCATTTAGAGGCTACACGGAAACCTTCATTCTATTAAAATAATGTACGTAATTGTTTCAGTAGAACGCAGCTCATTGTAATGAAACAACAAGTGAATTGTAGCGTGGTAGTTTGGTCCTGCGCCTGAGTGTGTAGCACTGCGTGAGGGAGGAGACTGAGCTGTGACAACGCCAGAATGCGTACACGCTCATGCACAAATTCCAGTGCACACCAGGACAGATTGGATGGTTGTGAAGACGAAAGGAGAGGTGGACGGCCGAACGGATACTCGTATTTTGATAAACAGATTATTGAATTGATGGGTTTTTTTTAATTGCTAGTGGGGTGGGACTAAGTTCCTTGTACTGTGGCCACTTCTGGCCTATTGNTGTGGAGCAATTGGTGGAATGAAGATTGGCATGGGAAACCGAAGTACTCGGAGAAAACCTGCCCCAGCGCTACTTTGTCCACCACAAATCCCACTTGACCAGACCCGGGATCGAACCCGGGCCGCCGCGATGGGAAGCCAGCGACTAACCGCTTGAGCTATGGCGCGGCACTAATTGATGGGTTAGTGCATAAATATGCTGGATGGATGTGTTGGTGGAAGGACTGTTGGATGGAGGGGTTAGTTGGATGGGCTGTTGGATGGAAGGGTTGGTGGATGGAATGTTGGAGAGATCTGTTGGTGGATGGGCCGTTGGATGGACGGGTTGGTTGGATGGATGTGTTGGTGGATGGGCTTTTGAATGGATGGGTTGGGTGAAGTCTAGATCGGGGGATGGACTGATGTATTGGTGGATTGGTTTGTCAATGAGCATACGGATGAATGGATGGGTGGATGTTTGGGTGGAAACAGTGAGCAATGTAGGTGAAAGAACTTGACATTTTAGAAAGTTAAAAAACAAAACGGAAAAACGGAGAGATTAAATATTTTATGCAGCTTAAAGCTTAAATAGCTAGTATCAGATTCTGAAGATCATCATAGGGCTGAAAAATTCACCTAAGTAATTCATTTTATAAATATTTCTGTTGTATTTAGAAAATGGGGTATCAGCTCCAGATTACTGCAAGATAATCACTGATTCCAGAACAAATATCCGCCCAACAGGAAGAAACAAATCCTTCTACATCAACTTCAAATACGTAGCCGCCGAGTGCCGAACATAAAGACGTTTAAAACATTGTCACTTATAAGGGGTTAGCGTGACTAATAACAATGGGTTCTGGATTTCATGGCTGGGTTTAGTGGCACTTTTTTATAATTACAGATGATTAGAACAGTTCACACACTGAACTCCTTTAGAACGACGTCTGTCTGACGAATCTCTCACTAATCTCGGACTGATCTCTCCTACTCTCTTGAATCTCTAACCTTTACTACTCCACTCTCTGAATTCACGAATCCACTGTCTTTTATAGCTGCTATGCGGCCCGCACAAACAACACCATGTCGAACAGTTCATTGTCCTCTGTCGTCCTGTTTCTTGCCACGGGAATCTTATGTTTAGCAACTTGCTACCTGGTAACGCTGCTATACGTTGTAATGGGAACGTGATTTTCGAATCGTTGCTCAACAACGGACGTCTGGCTCTGGCTACACTATTCTGGCTTTCAGCCGTCTCGTCATATTATGTGTCCCGTTTTCATTTGTTTAAATGAAGTAACCCTAGTTACAAGGACTGAATCGTTCAGTCGTTAACAAGACAACTGATCTAAAGAAGAAAGGAACATCCTCCTGGACCACATTACTAAGAAAAAAAGTTTAAATCAGAAAAAAGGAAGTGCATGCCTCAAGCCAACGAGACTCTTAGAGATAACTAGCTACATTACGCAAGAACGTGTGTACGTGTCATATTATTTAAGCAAGTAAATCCCCACAGGAATATTCACTTCGTCATCCAATATACAGTGAAGTTTTTCTTAGTCGATTGTTCAACTTCATTCTTCAGCGGTACAGAAATTAGACGTATCTTCGAACGGAAGCCGAAAATAGAATTGAATGTCTCCAGAATTTCAGTGATCAATTCTTAGACTGTGATGGATCTGATGTACCCACAACAGATAAAATGAAAAGTGACGCCGTGTAGCCTAGTATAAATTCACTGGACTACTGGATTAGACGAGGTTACACCGGAGAAGATGTTTCAGTTTTTAGGTTATTTTTCGAAGGGTATTCATCTAGACAAGCTGTACAGTCTCGAATGTACGAATGGTCGAACAGTGAAATCGAGACGATAAGGCTCTTGCAGAATTCTGAAGGTTCATCCAAGAAAACAATCGACACCTGATGATCGCGTGATCGTGCCTCAAAGCGGAAGTCTTCTAAACACGTAGCAGGGCCGTGAATGATTTAAAAGTCTTATTCATGTGCGTAATGGGTTAGAAAATTTAATTATCATAAACAAGACCTTTCGCTAGGAAAACAACTACTTCATCTCGAAGAACTCCAGGGTATTATTGTACAGAAGAGAACTGAATTTTCATATCATAACTTTATGACTAAAGCCTTTCGATTGCGAAATTATAATAATGAAAACTATAAGTTACAAACTACAAACATAATTTCTTTTGAAAAATTAGTTAAAATTCAATGCATAAAGAGTCAGTAAGTACGTCAGGAAGATCTGTCTACTTTTGCACACAAAGTGGAGCTTATGTATTGGACACGAATATCAATGCAGTGCATAATGCTCCCCACCACCAGAACTACCCCTCTCACGCCCCGTAAGCCGAAGGGGTCGATACACTGAACAACATTGCAATTATGTAGATCCGTAGAAGGAGCCGGAAACTACAACAGCGTAACATCAACAAGACAATGCTCTACTTCTGCCGGAAACTGGGGCTTGAGTCCGTTCTTTGGATACATGTGCCCTAAACCGTGCAGAGAGAACATGGGAAAGGAAGAAAGACAGAGACAGTGAGAAAGTAGAAAAGGAGGAAATAAGGAAAGAGAGATGGCAGAAAAGAAAGGAAAAAGGAGAACAGGAAAGGAGGAAACAAATAGAGAGATAGTGGGGGCGAAAGAATGAAAGAAATATAAAAAGAGAAGACAAGAAAGAAGGAAACTAAGAGAAATAAAAAAAGTACAAAGAGAAGACATGAACTAAAAAAGAAACAAGAAGACAGAGTACCAAAAAAGATAAAGAAAAAGGAAAACTGGGGAAGAAAATGAAGATTGTAAAAGGGAAGTAAGATAGGAAAAACAAAGATTGAGGTAAAACTGGGAAAGGAAGGAATAAAGAACAAAGACATTTAAATAATCCAATTTTCTCGGATAAAATAAGTGGCTTGTTACAGCTTTGATTAGATACGACTAAATTTAAGGTAGCCGGTCACGGTAGCCGAGCGGTCTAAGGCATGCACTGTCTTCGCCCACTCGGAAGCCGAGATCGTGGGTTCGGATCCCACTCAGGGCATGGATGTTTAGTGTTTGTGTACAGGTAGACGTCTTGCGACGACCTGATCACTCGCCCAAGGAGTCCTATCGAATGTGTAAGATCTAGAAAAACCGAAGTGAACGGAGAAGTTCATGGAGGTAGGCCTAGGCCCACTGGGGCTGTAGTGCCAAGGAAAAAACAAAAAATTAAGGTAAGACTTCAAATTCCAAATTCTATCATAAGAACTCTCTCAGAGCGCAGTTACTACAAAGGGCGGACAGGGAAATTGATTGACTCGGTGAATTCGGAAGTTCTTGAGTACTGCTAATCATCACTTAAAAATAATTGAACCGGAAAACTAGTGTAAGGAGGAGGCTGTGTCTATTCCAT